GCTTTTCTTGTTGTTGTGACAAAATATTTAATAAAAGCTACTTAAAGGAAGAGAGGTTTATTTTGGCTCATGGTTTGAGAAGATATGGTCCATCATGGTGGGGAAGGCATGGTGGCTATGTGGTTATGGAAGTATGTGGCAGCTGCTTGCTCAAATATTAGTGTACCAGGAAGCAGTGAGAGACAAAGGCTGGTGTTGAGTTCACTTTCTGGAAACACCCTCATAGGTACACCCAGTGGTGGTAAGTCTCTTAGAGTGGTTCTAGATCCAGCCAAATTGACAGTGAAGATTAACCTTTTTTTGTAGTCTTGTTGTATGATCTAGAGCTCAGGAGAGCAGAACACACTGTTCAGGGACATTCTGCCCTAAATGTCAGTCCCAGAATGCCTCAGGGTGTGGCCAGGAGCTGGGAGACAACATGCCCTCTGTGCCACTTCAACTGACTGAGGCTTGACGACTGATGCTTTGGGAAGAATGAAGGATACAAAATTGTAAGCCACGGCTGCTGTCACTGGTACCATGCAAGGTGCCAGGAAAAGAGCTAACAGTTGTCTTGAGTTTGGGGGTAGAGCCCATTTAGGCCCAAATTAGGAGGGTCTTGAAGAACAGGCTCAAATAGAGCTAGTTAATTCTTTGTCTTCTTCCCACTGGCATTATTCTTGGGTTAGATATCCTTAAGAGATATCATCTGTTCCTAAAAACGTAACTCTTATGCTCCTAGAACCTTCTAAGAATAATTCTCAAGTATGATTATAATCTTTATCTGAAGGGAAATATTCAGTCACACAGATCAGATTTCATTAGCATTACATGGCACACTTGATTTTATTTCCCTGGTATAATTATTGTTTTTCTTTCATCCTGTTTATAAAATTTGCCCCTTTTATTCAAACCACTTAAGAATGCAGATTGTGCCTCATGGCTGGATGATCTTTTCAGCACATTTCTGAAAACACAACCTAAAATTCTGAGAGTATGAATAGAATGCATCCTCCTCAGGAAGCACTGTGACTTTATGACCGCAGTTCTCGGAAGTGTTCAAGTTTCACAGTTTTCAGAAAGCATGAACGAAAGCTTGCCTTCTCCAACAGTTTAGCAAGGACAAATAGACCAGCTGCAATCTGGAAAAACTCACCTAAACAAAATGAAGGCAACGATTACAGGAGTCCCTCAGCCACGCCAGCGAAGTTGGATGGGATCACAGGATGTGGAGAGTACAACTGAGACTCCAGGATGGGGAAGAAGAGCCACACCCCATCTGCCCAACCTTCCTGCCCCAGATCTGGACATTGGCAGGGAAGAAAAAGCAGACATTGCCTCTCACCATGATAGCTCACTAACCATGACTTCCAGGCAACAAACAGTGCAGAAAAGCTGGTGTTGACTCTTAACACCCCTTACTTTGAAATTAACACTTTAGCCCCTCTGGAGAGATGCTCAGTCCCTTAGATTTTGATTCTGGGCCAAGAACGAAAAGAAAAGGCCCAAGTCTTTCCTTCTTTCCTCTTCTGTTCCATCCCCCTTTTATCCCTCTCTCTCTTTTAAGAGCAGTTTCTAAGATGTTCTGGTCTCAGCACCCTAAACCTTCTAGAACCTAGAACTTCTGTATGAGTCCTTAGAGGACATCCTATTGAACTGCCTCATTCTACAGCACAGAAAACAGGCTGGAATAGAGTGGTGCACTTGGCCCTTGGTAAACAAATCAGAAGGGTTCAATGCAGGAGGCTTGGCCCTGAGAATGTTGATGTATTAGTGGTGGGACCTTAATCAAGAGGGGCCTAATTATGATTAGGGCATTGGGGCTGTCCTCAGAAGGGATGAATTACAGTTCTTATAGCGCCACAGTTAGTTCTTACAACAGTGGGTTGTTATGGTTTAACTAAGACTGTGATACAGTCTGCTCTGAGGCTCCTGCCAAGCTGAGCAGATACTGTGCCATGCTGTCAAGCCCCTGCGAATGCTGGGTAAGAAGCACACACAGAGCACCCATCTTCTAATAATGAAGGGTTTGCACCAATGCTCCAACCAGGAAACAGGAATCATTCAGTTTATTTGGTTTTTGCCATCAAATCCAGGGCCTCGTTTCTACTAGGAAAGTGCTTTATCCCTGAGCTACTCCTCCAGGAATCACTCAGACAGAAGTCATCCCATGAGAAAGGCTGACAGTTGTGGAGAACAACCATGGGATAAAGAGGTGCCTCCAGATCCACAAATGGGGGTTGGGAACCCCGCAGTTCTAGGGCAGTCATACAGAGGGCTCCATCATGGCCACCAGTATCCACTCTTCTTTCTTACTATCAGGAGTGGGTTGCTGACCCCTAGGAACTAGAGATAAACATGAGCCAAGTTCTGGTTCAAGGCCTAAGAGAATTACTAGGTAATGTCTTTGGGAAAACTTACAAAGTGAGGATGGGGCCTAGAAATATGGTTTTGCTGGTAGAGTATTTGCAGGGCATGCACTGGGTTCAATAGCAGCACAGACTAAACCAGCCATGGAGATGCATGCCTGAAACCCTAGTACTCAGGAGGCAAAGGCAGGAGGATCATAAATTCAGGGTCATCCTCTGCTATATAGAGAATTTGGGGCCAACTCAGGCTACCTGAGACATCTAAAAAAACAAAACAGGTGAGGATGACTCTGCTGGCAAGTACCCTTTTGTAACCATCCTGGTTAGAGCAAAGATAATCTAGAGAGACATTTGTGCCTCTTTGGCTATGAGACTATTGAAATAACGGTCTTCAAGAAATTAGAATTTTCTCAGGAATCTCATACTGGATAGAAGAAAAGGTTGCAGCTCTGGTGCCAGCCAGAGGAGGAACTGCCTTCCAGAAGAGAGTTCACACAGTTCTAACAACTTGTCAGACCATCTGGCAGGAGAGCTGGGCGCCCAGACAATGATGGGGGAGACCCATTGACCAAGACAGTGTAGACAGCTTAGTTATGCTTACCTCCAGCCCTGTATTTAAACCTAAACCTCATGTCAGCGCCTCATGATGGACCTGGGGTTCCTCTTTCTAATGCAGTCACAATGAAAACAGGCCTGCCTTTCACATTGCTTGTCTCTTAATTGGTGTATTGAGAATGACTGTCCCAGCCTAGCTTGTTGGGACTTCCAAATCCTACACTTTGACCCTAAAAACTCTGGTAACACTCTAACCCTCTGTATATTTTTTCCAGTGGAGAATAAGGACATGATGCTGGCTGTGGTGGGAGTAGCCATGTTGTAACTCTGAAGCAGCCTTAAAGATGGACGTCAAAAACTGAGCTCGGTGTAGCAGAAAGATGCTTCTGTCCCAGACCTGCCCTGCCTCCCCCGAACCTGGTTCGTTTTAATGATGGAGGAGAACAAACCCTACTTGCCTAACCATTATTTTTCATTATTATTTGTAGCTTAACACATTTCCTGATGGGAACACACACTCACTATGAGGTCCCAGCAGTGCAGAGTGTGCAGCCCCACAACAGCCAGAACGCAGTATTGGTCCCAGCTGCACGTAGAGAAAGTGCAACACAGAGACTGCAATTAAAACAGTGGAGGGGAGGCATTGCAGACCAAATTACCAGCTTCACTGCCTGGAGAGGTGCTTTGTTGTGACCCAGAGGACTGATTTGAGAACTACAAATTAAGCAAGGGCTTCAGGCGAGTATTTTAGAAAATCATTCTTGAAGAATCTTAGCCTGTGGACCAAACTGAGAGAAATGAAAATGGTAGCCCAGAGAGAGCATTCAGGAGGGTTAGTAGCACAGCAGCTTCAGGCCAGGTGGGAGCCAGTGCAGCGCTGTTCTCATGATTATAATGGTTCATAATAACCAGGGGGCAATGTTGGGTCTCCCGTTGGCCAGAATGATCAGAAATTGCTTGCTGCAGTCATCCTAACAAATATAATTTGACACTTAACTACAATTCCAGATATTCCACTTTCCTTATGGTCCCCTATTGAAAAGGAAAACCAAGCCAGAACATCACTAAATAGAATAATCCAATTAAGTGTCTCTCCATTTGCAAACTACTTAGAATTGAGAGTTTAACAGGACTGCAGAGAGGGTAAGACAATTCAGTATTTACTGATTCAAAACTCAAGGCTCTTACTGTAAGACAATTGTTTTTGGTTATTTTAAAATAAATGGTTAATCAATGTGAATAGCTTTGATGTAATGATTCGAATCACTAACAATCCTTTCTAGACATAAGATTTCTCATGAATACATTTACTTATATTTTAATATAGGCACAGCTTTATATTTAGACTGTTGGTATAAACATATTCTCAGTCAATCTTTTTTACCATACATAATGATCCAGGATTTATTTTTAAAAATAAGAAGACGGTTTAATAAAAATGTCTACATCCAGGAATGCAGTGGTAGAACTGAGGGGCAGAGCGCTTGCTTAGCACAAGGCTCTTGGTACAAACTGCAGGACCACCACCACCAAAAAAGTCTACTCCTTTTAGCTCTGTGTTATTTGGAGAAATGATAGCTAAATTGCCTAACTACAGCCTTTGTTGGTATTTCTGTAATGAACCTCATAGGAGTTCTCAGAGATGGACATCCACCTCCATGTGGGCAGGGGACACCTGCCCGCTGAGACAGCAGTACTGGAAAGAACGCTCCTGGGAGAGGAGCTGGTTGAACCCCACCGAGCAGCACACAGTGCTCTGAACTTTGTCTTGGCCTACATGAAGCAGGGACTTGAGGGACAGTGGTAAAGAATGAACTAACTGGGTCCTTGAAGATTCTCCTAGAAGGTCTAGTGGCTGCTGGTAAAGCCTGGGGCACGTCCTTCAAGCTGCCTTGCTATAGGGAAAGGAATCCTATATCTATCTGGTCTTGAAATCAAGGCACAATCAAGTTCTCCAGGAAGAGCCTCAGTTAGAGCTTCTGGTACCACATTCTTTGTTGTGTCTTCCTTACTATTAAAGCATGCGCCACATAAATGCCCTCTGCGCTACTGACCCTGGGGCACTGTTACACTGAAGGACATTTAAAGTATACTTACTGCTGGTGGAAGACCGATGGCTGTAGTCAGACCTGAAACACAAGATCTCAGTGTCAGTAGGATTAGACACCATTTTCCTTTATCCAAATGAGCCACTCAGACTGAGAGTTTGGTCAGTGGCGAGCAGCATTTACCCACTAAAAAAATGTCACTGGTGGAGAACAAGAGTGTTGATCCTCCTTCTGTGCAAATTACTGCTATGTTTGAACTTGAAAGCGAAACTTTGAGGCAGTTTGGAAATTGGGAACCTTCATATGGGCTCTGTGAATTGTCCTGTGGGATTCCCAAGCCATCTAAATTTGCTGGAAATTTTTTTGAGTGTTTATTTTTCTGGGGAGAAAGGCCTCATGTTTTCAACAAATTCACAACTCCTCTAAAGGTTTAAGCCTTCCAGTGTTTGCACAGCACCACCTCAGGCCTCTTTGCTGAGATAATGGAAGGAATCCCACGTGTGGGGAGAAAGAACTTAACTGCGGAGTGGGGAGGGGAGGGGTGTCCGTATTCCAAGTTTGGCTGACCAGCAGGGATGTTCAACATGGGGAGATTTCAACTGATTTCAGTTCCTAATCCTGCTAGGTAGGAGAGCTACAGGATGTGGACTGTGACAGAGAAGGAGGAAAGCAGGGTAAGGTTGAAAGACATGACCCTTGTGGATTTTATGTTGAGAACTCAGCGGCTGGCAGTCAGCCACTGTGAGAATGGAAATCCTGCCAAGTCCTTGCCCCACACAGAGCTGTTAAGACTTCCCTCTCTGGCAAGAAACTTGTTGTAGAAGTCATTTATTCCTCCCTGTGCCCCAAAGCCATTCTCAGTAGGAATTGATAACTTAGGGATACAGGGACTCATCATGTCTTAGCAGTTAGGGGATGTAGTTATGCAAATAAACTGCTTAATTATGCTTAATTTTGTAGATAGACACTCCTTTTACTACTTTAGTCTTGTGGTGCCTTCCTTGAATCACCCAATTTCACTCACCTGAGCTTCTTACCACCCTTAAAAAGCAAATGTAAAACTTAAAAAAAAATGTTCCTCTTACTGGTTAAATTTGCTACGTTGCTTAGACCAAATGATGCACTGATTTATTGGTAGAGAAACGAAATGGAAAGAAAACAGCATGTGCTCGTCTCTTTTTCAAATGAAATATTTTAGTAGTCAGAATCACCGAAGTTTCAAAGTAGAAAGGATAACACTAAAGAGATGTGTTTATCTCATTATAACCTGCACGCACACACACAAGTCAAGTTCAGTTTTATTTTATTAATTGGCATATTAGTTATGGTGACAAAATATCTGACCAAAAAACTTAAAGGAGGGTCTTTTTGAGGGTATACCCCATCCTGATGGGGAAGGATGGTGGTGGCAGTGTGAGGCCACTGGAAACATTGTATCAAGAGACAGGAGGTTAAGGGACACAAGTGCTGGTGCTCAGCTGGTTGTCTCCTTTCCCCCTTTTGCATTCAGTCCAATACCAAACCTGTGGGATAATGCCATCCACATTTAGTGTGGGTGTTCCCTCCTCTGTTAAACATCTCTGGTAGCATTTTCATATGCTCAGATGTTCATCTGGTAGGTAATTCTAAATCTAGTCAGGTTGACAATGAAGATTCACTATCACAACTGGAAAGTGTAAGGAGACTAGGAGGTGAGGAATGACAAGGTTTGGACTCAGTGGGCAGAGTGGGTGGCATGGAACAAGCTAGAAAGTAGGATGGGTAGGGGCGAGGGCATGGTGCCATGTTGGCTGAGGGAAATGAAAGCTTTCAGGATTGGTGACATCCTGAAACTCAGAATTCAGCACCCGGCACTGGCACTTTAAATTCTTTCTGGAGCCAGGCAGAGTATAAATAACACATAGGACAACACTGAGAAATGTAACGATGTATAAAATGTAGTGAATGCCCAACAAACATCCACTGTACTACACGCCAAAGCAAAACCATTCCGTCACAACATGATCATCTCAGGATGGCCAGACTTTCAAGCAGTCGCAAGACTATCCAAATACAACATATGAGAATGTGAAATATTATTATTTCTCTTATAGCAAAAGATGTGTCGTCTTTTCAGCTAGGATCTCCAGATACTCCTGAAGCAGATGGGATTCACATAGGCAGACGTTGTAAAGATCTGCATACAGATGAATATGGCCACATCCATATGTAATGAAAATAACATTGGAAACATAGTTCAAGAATCTTGATGAGCACTGGTAGTATCTTAGGATAGGTGCTAGCATAATAATGCCTCTCCACAAGCGCCCCCCCCCCGCCATCCTCAAGACCCTAACGGCACTGCTGGAGTTAAGCTTGCCAACTGACAGACACTCTGGGTTCTTTCAATTTCCTCTCCACACAGAAGCCAGTCTTTGCACAGCACCAATCTGACCCTGTCTTAACTGGATGAAATTCAAGCTCACTAGTTAAACACAAGCCCCTCGCTCCATGAAGGATGGTCTCTGTCCAGCTGCGCATCCCAGCCTTCATCCCATGGAAACAAATCAGACAGAAGAGTCACCTAAAATTCCCACGTTGCTCTCAGCTTCAGGGTCTAGGTTTACGGAATCTGCGCAGTTGCAGTAATGGTGGAGATAACTATGTTGAACTGCTCTTTTCATTTTACAGCATTTGAACACGCTGCTCTGTAACTCCTGTAATTACCATTTTAGGTGAAGTGAGGTGTTACAATTTAGTCGGCCATTTCACTTTGGAATAGCCTCATGATGTCCTTGATTGTCCACTTTTATAAAATGCTGAGATGAGATAGATTTGAATAAAGCTTTATATTTACCTTCTTGTCATTAGAAAAATTGCCATGATTAGGAACACAGACTGAGGTGTGAATACATTTATAGTTCATTTTCCAATGTCATTGCTACTGAAAGACAAACTGTAAAGCTTACGTCAATTTTATGGAGAAAAAGATTAAAATAACCAGATATTTGAACAGGGCTTTCTGAAGGGCTTTGTGCTCCCCAAACTACTATAGGGGGTCTAGGGATAGCCTGACACCCCTGTTTATTGGTCTCCCAATACAAGAATGTCCCCTGCTGGTAGTCAAGCCTTTCAGCATGAAGCACAAAAGAACTTAAGTATTTTAAGATGAAAAATTTTCAAACATAGTTTGTAGACAGAGCACAATACAAGGACTATATATTTTCACATGCCTGACACATACAGAAACATTTCCAAATATTAATTATAAGTACCAGCACTCTGGAGGCAGAGGCACTTGACTCTCTGTGAGACAGAGACCAACCTGGTCTATATAGTGTTTCAAGCCAGTTGGGGATCCAGGGAGAGTCTTTCTCAAAAAAAAAAAAAAAAAAAGTTATTGAGGTCCCCTGACTATTTTTTAGCTATAATGACATGCACTGGGATTATATATAGAGATATTCTGTAACTGAGCTAGTTTACCACTGTTAGACTTGCCAATTTGCACATATTTAGAAAATGAATATTCCTAAATTTTCTTTTCCAGGAAAACCATGGCATAAGTACTGATTTTTGCATAACTGTAAAACTGATCTTCCTGTTATTGCAAAAACATCACTCAGTGTCTCATGAACTTCTAGTTAATTCTCAGAGCAATGAATTGAATGCCATGGTAACCGAGAGCTGAGTAGCCTTGAATACAAACTTCATTAAGTACTAAAAGATAATTTTTTCCTCTACATAAGATTTCCTTTAAATTTTCTTTGATTTATTTATTTTTATTTTATGTGTATGAGTGTTTTGTCTACACGTATGCAAGTGCACCATGTGTGCAATGCTTGCAGAGGCAGAAGAGGGCAGTGGATCACCTGGAACAGTTGTTAGCTGCCATGTGAGTGCTGGGAATTGAACTCAGATCAAGAACAGCCAGTGTTTTTAACCACTGAGCCACCTCTCTAGCCCCGCGTCCTTTAAAAAAAAATTCTGGCCCAATGAAAATTTTATTGCAGCTATTTCTCCCATCGACCTGTTTAAACTCTCAAGTCATGACTTTTTTCTCTCATAAATACTGGTTGGAGTTCTTCCAAAGACATAGGGTCTAGTGTGATACTGCCATGTCCAGAATTTCAGTGACAGCTGATGCAGAAGTGGAAATCCACAAATGCCAGATCAAACTACTGAATGAAATAACCCACTGGGTACAGTCATGTGTGAAGGAGCAGGGTGGAGGCCAGATCTTGGAGACTCACTAATGAAACCTCATTACACAGCATCAGCTTTATTTGGATTTACAAGGAACTGTCTGCCCCCCTGCTATGGAATTCTGTTTCGTGAGCTACTCTGTCAATGTCAGCAGTGATTTGTCAGCTTCTTACAACAGTGTACAGAGGCACAGGCTTGTTTTCAAGTGGAGTTTCCAAATGGCATCAACTGCCACAGAAGAATGCTAGCTTGCTTTTAGTCTTGGCCTGTGTTAGGTGGGTCAGTTAGAAAAGGCAGTGTTTTAATCAAAAGAAAACAAGAGCTAATAACAGATGAAATGGTTCTTAAGAGGCAAAGTTACTACGTGGGAAGCACAGTGGAGATCTGGGCAGCAGACCCAAGAGCCATACACCTTTAAATCTCTGCGTCCCATTTGTATACTAATAGTAATGATACTGAGGCATGACCTGTGGATGTTCTGAATGATAATCAAGTTCCTTCAGGTGTATAAAAATGTTTGCTGTGTTGGGTATAAAGAATGTATGGAGTTGGGCATAGTGGCACATGCCTGTAATTCTCACTGGAGAGGCTGAGGCAAGAAGATTCTAAATTGGAGGCTATCCTGGGATATATAAAGAGACTATCTGAAAACTAAACAAAAGGAGACTCTGTGGTCCTAGAGTCACTATTATTATTATATAAAACTCTAAGTTTATCATTTGGAGTGTTCTTTGTTACAATGGAATGATGAGAAATTACCTCAATGGGTCCAGGTTGACTTTCGCCAGTCACCATTCTGGGAACTTTAAATCTGCACTCTCGTTTAATCTTTACAAGAGCCCTTTTAGGGAGACATAATTGTCCCCACTCTACAGAGGGGGAAACTGACAGCAGAGAGGTTAAGTAACTAGCTCATGGTTTCACAACTCCTATGAAGAGCCAGAACTTTAATACAAGCAGGCTAGCACTAGCTTCCAAAGTGACCAGCCCAGTCTGTGCACTGCCAGTGGGACCCACAAAGTTTCTTAGAACCATTTCACTGATCTGATAATGATAGGAAGGCTAATCAGCCTAAACAATACCCTAAAATCCTTAGCCATCCTTAGCAATGATCTCCTCTCTACTCTGTGAGGAATGCAACTACCCAGGGACTCTGCCCAGCTCTAGCTATGAAAGCTGCAGGAAAAGAAATAGGTCAACTCTCGTCTCCACAAACACATAATCAGACATCCCGATGAGTTCCCACTCTTTACCGACCAAAACCCATTTCAAATCTCTGTTCTTCTATGCATGGCATTATACTGAATGGAAACTCTGTCTTCCCTTTCCTCTGCCCCTCTGGCCCTCTTCTACCCAAAGCCCATTCATCCATATGTGGGCTAAAGCCTACCTGCCTCCACCTCTTCAGAACATAAGAATTAGGTGAGGTCATGTTTCCTTCTTCATCTTCATCTGCATCCCTTGCTATAGAATCCTTTCTCTGGGCAATAATTGTCCACTCAGAGCCCCTGCAGGGAGGGAATTCATCTCTTTCATCCTTCTGGTTACTGTTCCTCCATACCTCTCTTCTGGACAAATTTATAGACAAGCAGCTTAGCAATGACTTTTCATTACATTCTGCTCCTTTCTGAGGCCACTCTACTCTGGCTTCTGCTGTCATCAGATCCTCACTTCATTATCTTCATCGATAAAAGATACTCCAGTCCTCATCTTAATGAGTTTCTCAAACAATATCCATCTTTGTTTCTCCTCAACTCAATTCCCCATTGGCTTCTAGGGCGGCTCGTTCCTCATCCTTTTATCCCACACTGACTGACTTCTTGAGTTTTGTCATCATAAGCTCACCCGCTTTTGCCTGACTTTCCAATGCAATGGATTCTCAAGGCTGGGCTTAAGGACAACCTACTGCTCTAACAGCTCAGTCCAAGGACTCAGTGAACCAATGAAACACGCTAAGGCTCAGAATAGTAGGCAGCGAGCAGTCAGTGGTAGGCAAGTATCGGCTGTGACCTTCAATTGATTTCATCTCTCCCAGGGCTTCAAGGGCAGTTCCAAAAATGGTGCCACCAGTCAGACCTTCACTAATCCAGGCAAAGACACCCAACTGACCCAAATGCTGACTTGCCTTCTTACTTAATGTCTCTGAAGACCATACTTGCTGAAAATGAAACAACACATATTCTCCCCTAACTTGGTTTAGAAGGGACCATAGGATACTTTGAGAATTCAATTTTTTAAAAAACGTTTTCAGAACTAGATAGGTGGCTCAGCAATTAAGAGCACTGGCCACTCTTGCAGAGGACCTGGGTTCAGTTCCCAACACCCACATGGTGGTTAACAGTCACCTGGAACTCCAGTTTCAGGGGATCCAACATCCTCTTCTGGACTCCATAGGCACTGCACCACGTGGGTGCATTTACATACATGCAGGCAACACTCATACACATAAAAATAATAAATGAAAGTTTTATCATAAAAACTAACCAAGTACATTATTTTCTCTATACCTTAAAGCTATTCATGGGACCTCAAATTAAGGACAGATGTCTTAGTGGATGTATCACTTGAGCTGGGTCTTGAGAGAGAGTAGAATTTCGCCTGATAGACAGGCATGCCAGGTAGAAGGGCAGAGCTGGCAGAAAGAGCTGTTTGACAAAGTGAGGCAGCAGAAAAATTTGCCAGGGTGACCAAGTGCAGAGGGCAAAGAATGGTTTGTGAACTGGACTCTTACAATTCTAGGCCATATTAAATTCTTTCACTTGATAGATAAAAGAGCCATAAACGTTTGGAAGGGAGAGAGACATGATCAGATTTATGTTAAGAAATACTAATGAGCCCAGCATGGTGGTCCATGCTTTGATCCTAGCACTTGGGAGGCAGAGGCAAAGGAGGTTGATCTCTGTGCGATCAGGGCCAGCCTAGTCTACATAGAGAGTTCCAGGCCAACTGAGGCTACAGGGAGACCTTATCTCAAAAAAAAAAAAAAAAATACTAATGAAATCTGGGCATGGTGGTACATGTCTGTAATTCCATCACTTGGGAAGTAGAGGCAGGAGGATGGGAGTTTAAGGTTGTCCTCTGCTACTTAGTGAGTTCAAGTCCAGCCTGGACTACATGAGACTACTTCAAGAAACCAAAACAACAACAACAGCAACAATAGTAAACATTTAATGAGTGAGTTCTGTGTGTTTTATACTCAATCTGGATAGAAGAGGTCAGAGAAAGCACCAGAGAAAAGAGCCAACTATGACCAGTGTTTTTGATAGCTAAACTAAAGCTCAAGGAACACACAGGAGTAGACAGCAAACACAAGGCCAAGGTGCACACTGTGAGACTCGTGTAAAAGCATATCATTTTATATTTTACTTTAAGCTAATGATGCAATAATTATTTAAACAATTCTGTCCTGTTACAAACTCATTTTAGTGACAGGCAGAAAACAAGCTTCAGTGTCACACACTCAGCCAGCCCCTCCCAGGAACCCCGGTAAATGTCATGCTAACCCCTGGTTCCTGGGGTGAAGTCACCCCTCAAGGTCAGGACTTCCTCTTCCTTCTCCAAGGCACAGGCCATGGGGAAAGAAAACCTGCTTCAGTGAGCCTTGCAAATTGAAAACAAATAGGATAAGGAATACTTCACTCTAGCTATAAAAGAGCTGGTTAATTTTGCTTTGTTTCTTTTATTCATGGTCCTGCTAACCAGGATTGGGGGAGCCAAGGACCTTCCATTAAAGTTGATAAATGGGGGGGGGTGTGACTCAGTGAAAGAATGCTAGTCTAATATGCATGGGGGCCCTACGTTCAAACCCCAGCACCACAAAAATCAAGAAAGAAACTAATTTGACAAACGTCAAATAAACATTTGTCAATGTTGAGTAAAAGCAAGGGCAGTGTGGGGTGGAGAGAGGTTAGAACCAAGTTACCCCACTATGGATGACCAAGTTGGATAAAGGAGGAAGTCCACTGCAAGGAAGTATGCACACCTAGAATGGGTAGGGGTGGTGGAGGAGGGTGCAGGAACCGAGGCGTTGGGAGCCAGGAGGAGCTAGGGGTGAAGGCTTTCTTAGGGTCAGGTTAGAACAGGTGTCCATTCTGGAATCCTCTCTTCCCACCCCCATGAGGCTGCCAAAACCCTGAGATTAGCTTGAAACCTCTCCACCTTCCAGGAATTCTGAAATTTTCTGTAGCCTGGGTAGCCTCTGTCCTCTCCAGATAGGAAAAGACACCCTTTCCTCTGGGGTAGAACCCGCATCCTGGATATGGTGCTGACTGCACAGGAAAATCCTCTAGATAGGGGCTGGGTGGAAACCATCACAAGGACATTCCTCTCCGCCAAGGCATTCGCTCTTTTGTCCTACTCAGGAAAACTGCTGTCCGGAGAGGACTAATTAGTCTCCAAAGGTTTGAGCTAATTGTTTGAGTTCTTTGAAGCGCATAGGACGAGTTCTATGCAAGTAGGGCCAGATCACAGCATACTACAGGTTCCCAAAGCAGCGGTTCAGGCTAGGGCAGGTGCACTGAACCAGGAGGAAGTTCAGAGGGGTTGGCGGGATGGAGAGGCAGGTCAGCAGCACAGGCTAAAGTGCCACCAAAAGGGCCCTAAAGTGATATATGTCGTCCTCTTCCCTGACTTCTGAGAGACTTTCAGGCGTCCCACCTCTCCACCTGCTTTCCTCCTCTCCAGGGCTGACTCCAGGGGGTTCCGGAGCTCTCGGGGAGAGTTCCCTGGGCCGTTGGAAACAAGAGCTACAGCATTTCTAGTCAACGCCGTTGCCAGGGCACACTGGCTAGGCCTGGCACTCCTGAAGGACCGGGGCTGGGTGTGACCATGTTGAACCTCGGGTCCTGCCACCTTTCCGCTCTGCGTGCGGCCCGCCCTGCCCTGCTCGGGACAGCCGAGCACCACGCGGCTGGGCCGGGGACTGGCCGCAGCGATGGAGCCCCAGGTCCCCGGGAGGATGCGGGAGGAGCGCCCCTTGCTCCCCGGTGCTCTCAGTCGCTTGATCCCCACCCGGCCCGGCCCGGCCCGGCCCTGCTCCGCTCACCCTCCGGTCTCCGCGCCCGAGTCCACGCAGTCCTCCTCCTCTCCACCGCCCACCTTCGCGTCCATGGTGCGCGTCCCCGCCACGCTCGGAGCCCGGAGCTGCAGCCTGGGTTCCCGTACTCAACTCGGGCGCCCGCGCAGGCTGCTCCCGCCTCTCTCGGCAGCGCCCTCCCCGCCCCTCTCCTCTCGGTGCCGCGCGCGGGGACGCGCGGGTGTCACCGCCCTGCGCCGGTGCACGAGGGTATCTGTGTGCATACGCGGGTGTGAACGGGATGCGCGCGTATGCAGGAGCGTGTTGTGTGCTTGGGTGTGGTGCGTGTGCATGAGGGCGTGTGTGTGAGATGGCTTATGTCTATGAATGTGGGGTGTAGTGGGCGTGGTGTTGACGGCATGTGCTTGTGCCGAGCGGCTGTGCCATTTGTAGTGTTACTTCCTCCGTGTGTGTGTGCGTGTGTGTGTGTGTGTGTGTGTGTGTGTGTGTGTGTGTGTGTGTGTGTGTGTGTGTGTATACATACGCAGGCGAGCTGCCTCATCTAGGCCCTCGGGTCCCAGGGGTTGCCTAGAGATTTTGCAGCCTCAGCCTATGAGCAGCACAGAGAAACACCCACCAGCACAGCCAGAGCAGGGTGCATGGAATGCTTCCCTTTAGGGACCAATTAGGACACCTGGGTGTTTTCTTATAGGTTCCTCAGAATTGCCAACGCTGAATTCATTATCGCCTTGCACAGTGCAGGTCGCTTCGGAGTGGCTTCTCATCATCCAACTTGCCAGCTTACAACGGATGTAGTGCAGTCTTTTGTTATCTGTCTTTTGAAATAACATAAAGAACCGTTCATGTACCTGCATTAAAAGGCTTTGGCAGCAAAAGGGTGTCAGGTATAAGCCCCATCCCCTTAGGGTGAGTTTAAGATCACTGTTGGAGCAGGTCACCTCCCCTGTGTCTAGATGATACAATTTAGTGGGGGGCAGGAAGAGGTAAGAACACTTTGGGTTTAATTCTGGCAGTCTTGCCATTCCAAACTATTGGAAAGCTTCTGCTCTCTGCTCTCTTTTGAAGGGCAGTGCAGAGGATGCAAACCTTGGCCTTGCACATGCTAAGCAAATGCTCTACCCTTGGGCTATATTCCTCGTCACTTTATCTTTGAAGTCAAGTTCTTTAACCTCTTTGAGCCTTTATTTCTTCACCTGTAACACAGGGTTACTTCTGTCTCTCCTGTACCACTGTTTGTCACATGAGATGATGTCTGTAAAACAGTTTACATGGGTGGTGGTAATGTAGAGCCGCCTCACAGGCAGCTGACATTGTCCCCCTGGAAGCCTGAGCTAGCCTCATTCCCTCTTTCAGCTTGCAAAGCAGTGTCACTGTGTGACAAGTGTCACCACAAAGAGGAACACTGTTTCTTGCCTTTCTTTTTCTCTCCGCTTCCTGTTCTTCCACCCTACTTGACCTAATTATCATCCCTTTCTGATTCTTACTTCAAACACATTATACAAAAGAGAAAGTTAATAAAAGCAGAACCAAACTATAATCTCATTTTTGGGAAAAAACTCAGGTGAATGGGCCAACTCCAAATCTAAACGGCTTTTTTAACGTTTTTAAAAACTTAAAATTCCTTGCCCCAATCAAACAACAACAAAAAGAATATATTATACTTAATTGGTGCTCATCAGCTGGAAGAAAGTAGCAGTTCCTCAAGAGAGATATTTGTTGCATGCATTGTGTTGTGTTTGAATCTAAAAATGTCTCCTGAAAGCTCATGTGTTAAGGGCTTGGCTGCCAATGGGTAGGCTTTTTGAGAGGCAATTGGATCATGAAGGCTCTAACTTCATCAAGGATCAATCCCTGTATGAATTCTTAGTCAAATGGACTATTAGAAGGTGGGGTTTGGTTGGAGGAAGCAGGTCTCTGGGGGTATATCATGCCCCCTTCCTCTCTGTCTCTGTTTCCTGCCCACTACTAGGTAAGCAGCTCTGCTGTACCACACCCTCTCTAACATGAGGCTCTTCTTTGAACTCAGAACCATGTAGTTGAGCAACCATGACCTGACACTTCTGAATCTATGAGCCAAAATAAATCTGCCCTCCTTAAAAAAAACAAAGTAACTTTAATTTTTAAAATATTTATGTGTGTGTGTGTATGTGCACATGTGTGGAGGTCAGAGGATAACTTGAAGTTGGTTTTGTCCTTCCACCTTGTGAGTTTCAGGGATGAACTTTGGTCTTTAGGCTTGGTTGCAAATGCCTTTACCTGCTGAGTCATCTTGGTGAAAGAAAGGAGTAAGGAGCTCCTCACAAGCCCATGTAATCCCTGAGGAACAGATCCTGAAATGACCTTAAGAGTAAAAATAATTGGCTTATTTGGGCCAACTGTATGATCTTAAACACCAAAAAGGAAAGTATAACCAAAGATTAAAGTCATCAGTATATTTTTTTAAGGGTCCATGTGTATAGCTAAAGGTCAGTCACCCTCTTTTTAGGTTGTTTTCTCTCTGGTATTTGTTTTTTTTGGAGGAATTGTTGGGGGTTTTGTTTCTTTTTTGACAGTGTCTTCCTAGTCCCAGGCGTCCTGGAAGTCACTATGTAGATCAGGCTGGCCTCAATCTCACAGAGATCTCCCTGCCTCTGTCTCCCAATGGCTGGGATTAAAGGTGCATACCACCATGCCCAGTGTCCTGGTATTTGTTGTAGACACACGAAGTGATCAACACATAAAATTGGTACCCACAAGTGGGATTGTTGCTAGATTGTAGCTCTTTATGGGGTTCAGAAGCATTTGAAACTGGTTTATAGGGAGAACTTGGAAAAGTAAAGAGAAGCAAGCTAGATAAAGCTTAGAATGGTGTAAAGCGCTTAAGGGGTGATTCTGGTGGGAACTCAGGAGGTCACATGCTGATGTCAATGCAGACACTGGAGACTGTGCTCATGAGGTTTCAGATAGGTGAAGTCTCTGTTGGGAATTGAACTAGTGGCCATTCATGTTACAATCTGGCAAAGAACTTGTCTGCATTTTGCCCATGCTCTGAGACTTTGTGGGAGGACTTGGTCTGCAATTAAAGACTAGTAAAGGGAATTTTTAAGGTCTTGCAGCATGCAGGCTGTGGTGTGGACATGGCTGGCTGCTTTTAGTTGGGCTTACAATGAGAACTGGAAACTGAAAACAGCAGGACTTGAAAACTTGTAGTTTTTAAGTAATTTTTATTTACTATTTTCATATTATGTGTATGCATGTGTGTAAGTGCATCCATGTCATGCAGTACCCTTGAAGGTCAGAAGAGTGTGTCAGATCCCCTGGAATTCCCATCTGGAATACAGATGGTTGTTAGCTGCCATGTGGGTGCTGAGACTTGAACCCAGGTCCTCTGAAAGTGCAACCAGTGCTCTTAACTGTTGAGTCATTGTCCTAGTTTGTTCTTCATTGATATGACAAAATACTCTGACCACTACCAACATGGGGAGGAAAGGGTTTATTTAGCTTACTTATCCCAGGTCATAGTTCATCTGGGAGCCCAAGGTAGGAACTCAGGGCAGGAACCTGGAGGCAGGAGCTGGAGCACAGGCCATGGAGGAATGCTGCTTACTGGCTTGCTTCCCTGGCCCCTGCTCAGCTTGCTCTCTTATCCAACATACGCCCACCTGCCCAGGGATGGCACTTCCCACAGTGGGCTGGGCCCTCCCACATCACTCAACAATCAAGAAAATACCCCCACAGACATGGCCACAGGCCAGTCCAATGGAGGAAATTCCCCAATTGAGGCTCCCTCAACCCAGGTATGTCAATTTGACACTAAAGCTATCCAGCACAGCCATCTATCTCTTCAGCCCTCCATTCTGCTTGTTGTTTTTTGAATGGAGCAAAACAAAACACAAAGCCAAGGAAGGCATGGCTGCAGAAGAGATCAGAACCACCAAGAAGAAGGCAGGTACTTTGCAGTGGACAACAGGAAAGATGCTTTGAGGACCTCTCAGAAATTGGGTTGGCTTCACTCTTAGCAGACACAAGAGTATAAAGGTGAAGCCCCATTTGGAAGGCTTTGCTTTGAGAAGAGAGCTCTAGGGTACTTACGCAGGGTTGCTTAGGGAAGAGTTTCCCTGAGTTCAGCCATCTAGGCCACCAGAGATACTGCAACTGTGGCCCAAGGGGGCCCAGCTACTGCTCTAGCTGACAGCAGACCTTGACACTGTCCACATACATGGCTTTGCTGGCATGTAGAAAGGAATACTTACAGCATCACAGCAGCTTCTGCCTACATTTCCGAAGAAAGCCTGGGAGGACAGACCATGTGTGAAGGGTTGGAATTCCTGTCAGCAGCCCCTGAGAAGGAAACATATATGCCCCAGAAAATTAGTGATGCCAGGAACATAGAACTTCATAGAACTTCCTTCCCCATCAGAGAGGCTTCTTTCTAGACTAATCCTCTGTTATAGTCCCCTGATCTACTCTGTTCTAGCCCCACCAGCACCTGGGGCATGACAGATTTACCTGCTAATTACTTCTCTCCCCCCAACCCCCATCCTAGCTCCATTAGAGCAGGACACAGTGTGTTCTGTTCCCTGTTCCCAACACTTGGAACAGTCTTTATGTGAGTGCAAGAGGCACATGTTGAGTGAACAAATGGAAAGCAGCCTCCGTGTGGGCACGGAGATGGAGGTGGGGTTCCTGGTAGAGATGAGCGTGATGTTACACACCAAGCAATTCAGTTAGGGAGAAGAGAAGCTAGGTAAATGGAGAGGCACACAATAGCACAGGCAATAGTAAGCTATTTGACATATGAGATGCTTGTTTGGAAAGCAGAAGAACAAATGTAACATCAATGAATCCAGGATGAAGGGGACGGTGAGAGTGGCAAAGCAGGATCATAGTGAACATTCTACTATCTTGCTGTCCTCACAGCCTGAGGGAACCTGCCTTTGTTGGTGTAGGGACGTTTCAAGCATGTATCTCATTTAATCGTTGATGAGGCTCTGTGGCATGGATGTATTCCTTCTTTTTCAATCAAGGAAACTAAACTCTATTGCATTCAAGAACTTTGTTCCAGGTCATCCACACAGTGAGTATGGAGCCAGGTATGCAAGTAATGTAGGTAGAGTCTCTGTCAGCTACCTAGAGGGATAGCAGGGGAAAGGGGCAGTAACAACCTTAGAAGATGGCACCAAAAAAAAAAAAAAAAAAAAAAAAAAAAAAAAAAAGACAGGGAAAAGAGACCTGGGAAAACAAGACGCTGCTTAAATGATTTTGGCCTTTCCCCATGTCCAGCCAAAGATA